CCTGCAAAGAGAAAAGAAAAGAAAAGCGAAAAAAAAGCAAAAACCCCCCACACCCTTTTTCTTTGCCTTAAACCTGACCCCTTTTTTCTATTTCTTTCTCTCTCCCCCCCTCTCACTCTCTACATTCTGTCTCCACCCAACCCCTTTCCTTGTCCTTTAAAAACTTACCCTTTTTCCTTTCTCTCTCTCTATCTCATTCTCCTTCCCTTTTTCTCTCTCTCTCTTGTCTCTCACCCCTCTCTCTCTCCCTTATTCCATACAACAGGATCACCAGCTTACACACAACACAAACCAAAACACATGTATATTTTCACTTACCTCCTACCCGGGCGATATTCCAGGGGCCGCTGTGTCAAGAGGAGGAATTAGTGATGAAAACAACCCAGCCACAGGTCGTAGTGATGAACAAGTGGAGGAGTGGAGGATGAACAAGTGGAGGAGTGGAGTGGAGGAACAACCCAGCACAGGGTTTGGGATTATTCAGCCTCACCGTACGAGCGGCCTTTGGAAGATAACCGTGAAAAAATGCTTTCGGTTAATTATTATTTCCATTCTCTGGGGCGTTTTCTCGGTTTTTTGGGGATGATGGCAGAGGTGGGCGAGATGGTGTGGGTCTCCTGCGCTGGACGGATTGCCTTGAAACTACCACGGCGAGGGGAATAAATGGGTGTTTAATAAATCTTAAAAACTCGTTCAAGACCGGATGGCTGCAAGTGCTGGCGTTGGACGTCATGGTGGGAATGACGTCATGGTAGGAATGGACGTCAGGGTAGGATGAAGTCATCGAGTTCGACTTTACCCATCCACATCTATCGTTAAAAATAGATGATTTTTTTTTTTCATCTCTAAAAAGGAAATCCTTTAGATGAAAAAATATGTTCTAGGTGTTAGAAAACATTTCATTATATCAATTGACATGTTCTAAAATTTCCCCTTCGTCATTTATTTTTTTTATTCTTGGGAGGTTTTCGAAGCAGTGTTGAAAGGAGGGAAAACAACAACCTGTCAAACACGTAAGTCTTCCTTATTTTCTCTTCCTTTGTCCCTGTAATGTTTGTCATTCGAACAACTTGCTGGAGATTTACAAGACCTTTAACGCCATTAGAAGAGGGGAGACTAGAGTCTGTGGCGTTAAATTTGCAATGGTAATTCGAAAAAAAGAACACGTGTTGTAGGCTTCGTGTCACTGCGGAGGAAGTACAGGAAACAGAAAGAAAAAAAAAAAAGAAATGAAGGTTAAGTTTATTTCTTGCTTTGGTGTGACGTGTTCTTGTCACTCACACCGAAGAAGAACACGCCAGAGAGAAGTGGGGTTGTGATTTGGGTTGTGTTTCCAGCTCGTAGTAGTGCAGAAGGTTGCGTCATTTTTTGTGAATTAATTAGTTTAATTTGTTTTCTCGTCTGTTTGTTATTTGTCTATTTCTTTTATGGTTATATGTATTTTTTCTTTGTGATTAAAAAAAAAAAATGGTATTATGAAGCATATTGAACCTTAAGAATTGACAGACTATATGTAAAATCACTTTAGATGAAAGAAAACAACATAGCGTACTTAATACCTTATGTACTCTAGAATGACTCCTTTTTTTCGGCTGTGTTGATATTTTTGAAGATTTTGGTATTATTAGTTTCTTAGTATCACTCAGGTAAAGCAATGCCAAATGTTGATTATCTCATGAGTTTTTCAGGTGAATGTCATAAATAAGGCCGTAGATGTGATTAGGCATTTTTATTTAACTTTTCATTATTGGATAGCCTTAGGGACCCATGCAATGCTACTGGAAGGAAGGAAGGCTGCCATAGCATTGAGTGTATCAGATGAGGGTGAATTTTGAAATGACTGTCCAACACCTATTTCTGGGTGAAAACTATGTTTTTTTGAAAGCTCTTGTTATGTTTCGAATGAATCTAGCTCTCATTTCCTTTGCAAATGAAGCACAGCAATGAGATAGGCCCTGATAACTGGGGAGGGCATGTTCGATATCACAGAAGTTGCAGAGTAAAACATCTGCCCAATTTGTTTTACATTATTGTCATGATATTCCATATTAAAGGCGAAACAATCACTTTATACACATCCTAAACCATGGCCGAAAACTGTTTTGGAATTAACAATTGACATCCATTGGGCACAGTTTCTATTGTCAGGTGATTAATCTATCACAAATTTATTGTCTCAATTAGATTTTGTACACCAGTGTCTGTGTGATCCTGTGGGAATATGTATCTGAGAGAGTAGAGGTAAGGGTGATTAACTTGAGACTTTGTACCAGTAGATCATCTACCATAGAAGTTTCAGATGGATGAGGGCGTGGAGACATATGTTTATGAGCAAAAGACCCGGATGTCTCCAATCAACTACCTCTAATTATACTGTTGGCTCTACTAGAAAGCCCCAATTAAATATTAAACTGTCCTGTTTGGGGGGGGGGGGGGGGGGGGGGGGGGGGTGACTCATGCCCAGAGGATTTATGATGGGCATCTCCCCAAGACCATATGTTTCCACATTATTGCTGAACTTTTGGTGTATGTTAATTGCCTTATCAAATAGGCAGCAGGATTTTAGATTGGTTCTACCTTCAAAGCTGATGGTATTAATTAATTCCAAATAAATGTAGAATTACAGGCTGAGGACAATAGTAGAGCAGATGGCTGATGAAAGCGGAGAAAATTGAATTACGGTGTTACCAAATTTTTTAATTGGTTAGAGCATATTGAGTGGGAGAGTATGGCCAGGAAAAACTAAATATAATATTATGTTCTTTTCTTATTCTCCAGGTATATATACATATGAAAAAAAAAGAGAGAGAGAGAAAAAAAAAGGAAACAAAATATCTATAACATGTTATCACTTTAGTGGTAATTTCTACATCCCCCATGATGAGCCCCAATTAGCTGAGCATATATTGGACATTCAGTGGCAGGGACCATACTTATCAATTGCAAGGTCCCTAATTTCCAGTAGGTAACTCTTTAGTTATCAAAGGTGTTCAAAATTAATCTTTGATTAATTTTAATTGATTCCCTTACCACCAGTTGGGATTACTTAAAATTAAAACTTATAGTGTTAAGTAGCAATTTATTGAAATGAGATCATAATTGAAGATATCTACGGAGTGGTTACTGGACAAAACAGTTGCAAGACTAGATATGAACAGTTGAACAGTGAGTTGTGGTGCTATTTTTGTCCTATTTTGGGGGACTAGACAGAATTTTTGGAAGGTGTTAGTCATATCAGTTGAATGCCAGATTTCTTCATGTAGGGATGTATTAAGATGATGAAAAAAATGATATTTGCATATTCTAAAATTCTCTAAGAATATGAAAATGAAATTTATGAAATACAGTTGAGTGTTGCTTGATATTTGTACTACTCTGAAAAAAAATTCATGTAAGTCATAGTACGAGTTGTGTAGGACGTAAATCCAACGCAAATGAAAATGCTGTGAATGTCTTCCTCAAATAATATATTGGTTAGTATAGTCTGCAAGACATAGGAAGGCAAGTCCATGGAAAAAAGCTCACTGAGACGCTGACTGGGCCACTTAACTGAGGTGAAGGAGCTCAGAAAGTGACTTGCCAGCTATGAATGTTGCTGGTGGGTCACCATGACTACTGTCTACTGTCAGACTATTGGCGGCTTTTTCTCTCTCTCTCTCTTTCTCTTTCTCTTTCTCTTTTTTATTTCTCTTTGTCTTCATTCTCTCTCTTTCCTCTTGTGCTCTTCTCTTTTTTCTTTCTCTTCTTTGTCTTTCTTCTTTCTGTCTTCTTTCTCTCTTGACTTTTTTCTTACTGAAGTAAAAAAAACGATTACACACTCCCAGCACAGTAGATTATGAATTTTTGCTTATGATTTGTATTACTATTATATTCTTTAATGCATGATTATATCAGTGATTAAATCAGGTAACTTAGTACAATACACATGCCTACATCTATATAAACATATATACCATACATACATGCCATACATAAATATAATATGTCCAAACCTACATATATATATACATGCATACATATCCATACAGGCAGCATGCATACATATATGATACATGCATGCATGCATACATATGTATTTACATACCTACATGTATATACATTCATACATGTGTGTATGCATACACATACATGCATACATACAGACATCTAAACATATATGCATACATATGTACATACATTCCTCCATATTTACATACATTTGTCCATGCATACATACATACATATATATTTCCATAACTATATGTATATACATGCATACATATATGCATACATGCATGCATGCTAACATACATACATGCATGCATACATACATACATAAGTATTTACATACCTAGATGTATATACATTCATACATGTATGTATGCATGCATACATACATACATGCATACATACATACATACATACATGCATACATACATACATACATACATGCATACATACATGCATGCATACATGCATGCATGCATACATACATATATACATATATACATACATATATACAAGCATACATACATACAAATACACACACATACAAATACACACACACACACACACACACACACACACACACACACACACACACACACACACACACACACACACACACCACAACACACACCACACATGCATAGTTCTTCATATATAAAAGGACTGACATGTTGAGCTAACTTGTAGCTGTTGTTTTCAGAGTTCCCTGTGTAACCAATATTATTTTCTTCATTATAGCATGAGGTGGAGTTTACTCCTAGCACTCAATCCTAATATGTGGGGTCCTGGCCCATGCCCTCCCTGTGAAGGAGAAGAAGGAAGAACACAAGAAGGAAGAGGAGGAGAAGAAGGAAGCTGAAGAACATGGAGGAGGAATGGGTTAGTAGAAACTTTTAATTGTGGTAAAGAGCCATTTCATGACAATATTCTTGTATTTCAGAACTCTTTTTTTCCTTTTGGGGAGTAAGGAGTCGACTTCAGAAAGATTGATGGTATTTCTACTTTATGCCTCCAGGAGCTGAACTTGGAGTATCGGTCGATACCTTAAGGAGGTGGTGCAAGCTCTGGAGAGTGATCCCTCCTTCAGGAAGAAATTAGAGACCGCCGAAGTGGATGACATTAAGGTTAGCATTCTGTCGTTTGGTTTGTGGTAACGTAACGAAAGAGAATGTATGGGAAGAAGTAATGGTTTTTAGAATGAATCTGTTTGAAATATCTTTGATCAAATGAATCTGTTTGAAATAGCTTTGAACTTTGCGGATGAATTTTATGGTTCAACTTCTTTTCCAGTCTGGTAAGATTGCCAGGGAACTCCACTTTGTCGACCACAATGTGCGCACAAAGCTTGACGAGTTGAAGCGGAGAGAGCTGGAGCGTCTTCGTCACCTGGCCATCAAGGTAGGCAAGCTGAAGGTTTTCTAAGTTTTCAGGAGAGCCGTCCACCAACCAAGAGAGAGCAGCTTAGAGGAAGTTATACAAGATCCTACTTAGAATTTTGATATTCCACAGTTGACTACATATAATTATATTTCTTTCTCTTATTTTAGTAGCTTACATATGAGACATCTGATTTTTATTTATTATTATTATTTTTTTTTTTTTTTTCCACATACATTTATATATATTTTATTATCTTATTTTAGTAGCTTACATTTGAGATATCTGATTTTTATTTATCGATTTATTTCCCTCATACATTATCACAACTTGCACCCATGTACTTCCATTTTTTAGGTGGTTATCTGTTTCCTTACAGATGAAATCCAGGGTGAGATGATTAAGTTACTTTGTTGCAGAGACAGGAAAGTGTAGCTAATTCTCTTGTGCATTTTTGGGTCCTATAAAAAGTATTCGTTTCATGGGTAGTTGTTTCTGAAGTACTCCACCATACAATGTTGACTACACTTTTGATATGTCACCGAGGGGGAGCATTTGTAGGGAAGTTGTATGTCTGGCAATGTTCGTTTGTTCGGGATCTATAGTTGGGGTCGAGCTTGCTGTCTTGAGCATAATTATTTGCTTTGGGTAAATGTAGCTTTGCATGATTGGAGGTCTTCTGTCTTGTGGGAATACAACTTGGCCCATTATTAGCATTATTAGCACATGGTGATTATTATATTTTATGTGGATGTGAGGATATATATGTGTGTAGGTGTACCAGTGTTTCTTTATATATGTGTGGGAGAAATTATACGAATGTATGTGTGAGCAAGTGTATGTATGGAGATGTGTGTTTTTGTAGGTATATATGTGTTTTGGGTGTATATGTGAACATAGGTTTTAGATATAAGCCATAAATTACAGAGAAAGGTAATGCATGTTGTCTGCAGAGAATGGACATATGGGTAATGCATTGAAGGCCAAGCTATGCCCTTGGAAGAATAGTACATTGCACAAGACTAGTAAGAGATGCTCACATAACCACTTTTGCACAGTCCCCCACTATCACAGAAACTGGAATTGGTGAACTAAAAGCTGGCATTTTTTTTAGGATTGATTTGAATTCACTTATACAAAGCAGCATGCTGAGATTTACTCAGGCTTTGTTTCTTTATGTTTAGGAACTCCTGCAGTGATTCTTCACAAA